CAAGTCTGTCTTCTGACAAATAGTTATGAAAGCTGAATGTGGCCTGGTTACATTTAAAGCCAAGTAGATTAACTCATACTGTTGTTCTGTTGTCTCTTTCCATGTGATTGTACAGGACTAGGTTTTCTGTTGATTATGTCTGCTTTTAATTTAGTTTATTAATTTTGATAGTTAGCACTATCAAAACATTTCTAGGAACGAGCTCATACTTGATAATACAACTGAAATTATGTAAAACTTTAAAAATATTATCAAAGCACAACATTTAAACTGATAAGGAACACAGATCCTTCAATTTCTTGCTCTTTAATTCAGCCATCTGTTGTTTCCTAGATTTGATAAGACAGGAAGGATATAAGACTAATATATGTTGATCAAAAGATCAAAAAATAACTGTATTCTCAGCCTTAAATGTAGTTTCAGTTGCTTCTTATACTAATCACAGTGCAGTAGACCAATACACCCTTTTTCTTCAAAGATGAAAATGCTACAGCCATAGTATTCCTTGATGTATATATGAAATTGAAGGGATGGAATACAAATCTGGCCAAAAAATGATGGATTTATTTTCAGTCATTCTGGAAAGTGTTCTGGTTATCTAACTAGCTGATCTTAGTGAAGAATATATTTGAGACTTTCAAGATTCATTAATCTGCACATTGAGTTCCTCGTTCACATAATGGCATCTTGTAACTGTAAACCATGATAATTTCTACGAAAATAAAGATCAGTTTTCTGTGGGAATGTCTTTTAAGACTTGAGAAAATTCTGATAATTTTATCACAAACTAACAGAAGCTTATAGAAGGCTGATGGATTTTCATGGGAATAAATACTTTTAGGTGCTTCACTTCAAAAACTTGACTACTAATTTAGTCATACACAGTCCTGTAGAAAGCTTTCATTTTCTTCTTCAACGTATGTTATCTCACATGTGATAATTTAAGTTTTAGAGCAGAAAATGTCTAACTTATTCATATTTCTAAAAGCAGAAAGATGAAAGATATCTTTTAGATAGCTTTTCTAATGGGTAAGCAAGGAACTCTCAACTTCCTTATAGACTTTTCCCCAGGTCTTTAAAACCAGTTAATCTTGTGGCTTCCTTGAATCTTTGTTGATATTGTCTAATTTCTGATTTCTCTAATTTACTCTTCAAAGAATGAAACAGTAGACAGGAAGATCAGCTATGACTTCCAGAAGTAGTGCTGTTTCTTCCTGTGTCTTCTTGTAGAGTCCCAAAACATTCCTTGACTTATCTGTACTATAACCTGAGGTATTCACAAGGTATTCGCTTTGGCTTTTGGGGTTTTGGCATTTCAGACTGTTTATCTTGGCTCTAAAAAATCCAGACTTTAGACATCTTCAAAATCAAAACTGGTCATCTTTGAGTAGTTTAACTGTTGTGATAATTAACATTTCCATAAGTCAAATGTGCTTTCAGAAAAAACAGTGTAGTTCTTCCAATAATTGTATTTATATAAAAGACAAAATCTTACAATGTCTTTTATATGTCTATAAAAGCTTATATACAAAATCTAAATATCAGTAAAAATGGTATTATCGTCAGCCTTTAAATGATGATTTTTGTATCTCAGTGCCACCTACTAGAAGGCAAGATTACATTGCTCTGGCATTTCAGTGTATCTTTTACATAATAAATCAACTCATACCTATTTAAATTATGTTTATTTTTTTTTTATACTGAAGACCAATCTACTGATTTTGATACAAAATAGGAATATGAGCGTTTTTAAGGTTTCTTATCTTGGAATGAAAATAAACGTGCCCTAATCTAAAAATAAGTAGGTCTTTACTATACTCAAGTTTATGAAAAATACCAACAAAATGATTCATTAAGCTATTTTTATCATCCTGTTTGTGATAGTTAAACTAATTTGCTATGCTTTTGATGTTTTTTTTTAAAGAGTTTATCATATAGCTGTAAAAATGATAATGAAGTACAAAACAACATGCGAATTTTCAATTCTAGTCAAAGCGATTAGTTTTTAAAGTAATTTTTCATGCCATTTTCCCCACTTTGGTAATGATTCATACAAAATTATTGAAATTCTTATACATTGAAAACAAATCTTACAAAATGGTAGTATTTCAAGTTAGTAGTATGGTTAATGAAACAAATGCTTAACAAATGACAACTAACAAATTAAGTCAATTATTGCTGCTCAATCAGTTATTAAGGACAATTAGATGTATTAATCTTAATTGTGTATTGCATAGTCTACCGTGCCTCTAAATCAGATCTTCCAGGTCTGAAGAAATAATTCTTAATTTCTCTTACAGTGTTTTTTTTCCTTGTTATAAGAAAAAAACCTACATTTCTTAAATAGGTAAAGGCCTTTTAATAGTAGATTTGAACTAGTGTAATTTAAAATTCTATCAGGATTAAGTAGGTTTCCTTCTCAGAAATTTCATTTAAATAGAATCACAGAATAAGATGAGTTGGAAGGGCACTGTGAGGATCAAGTCTAGCTCCTGGCCTTGCACAGGACCATCCCCAAGTCACACAATTTACCTGAGAGTGTTGTCCAAACACTCCTTGAATGCCAGGCTTGGTGCTCTGACCACTTTCCTGGGGAGCCTGTTCCAGTACCCAATCATCTACGGGGTCAAATATTATTAGTAAGATTGGAATTGAGAGTTTAGGACTTTATGAAAACTTTCACTTGGTAGACTTTGGGATAATTCATGGAATGGTGTTAGGTTGCTGGACTCATTTATGGCTTTGAGTGTGACCCCGCCCTCCCCTCCTGTTGTATACAATAGCACAAACAATCTGACTGTAGAAGGTGACCAAAGGAAGAGTTATGAGAGTTATGCCTTTGTTATTTCAGTATCATTCACCCATAATTGGCTGCTGACCTTTGTTTAGAGATTTTGTCCATGACTGTCTTCCATTAGGCTTTGAAGAGGGGTTGTTTTATTCCTCAAAATCAAGGACAAAAGCATTCAGGCTTCGCCATGGCTATGCTTGGTAGTTAACATCAAAGTGAGTCTTTGCAGGTGTGAACTTGCTTTTTATGAAGACCTGGAAGTCATTGGTACATTGTACATTGTGCTACATTGCCCTGCTTGTGTTCTGTTATGCAGTTGTCAGACCCTTCAATAGTCACAATAGTGATTTGAGTACTTCATCATAGACACTTAAATGAAACCATTAAAGTTTTCCTACACAGTGGCATTTTTTGGTGGGTGAATATATTAGAAACACTCCATTTAAATCAGATCATTTTGGTCTATAATGTTTTGTTCAGTTTTATGTGTATTCATGGTATGTTTATTTTTATTGTAAATCACAAAGGAAATATCAAAGAAAATCTGAAGATACTTAATTTGGTTTTGTGAGCTGGAATAAGACAATGTTCTTTATCTACAATTGTTTTTCTTGCTGTTTTGAACATGTTACAATTTTGTTTATATTAAAGAAAATCAAAAATCCCAAACCAATCAAAGAAATTACCAGCCTTATAATTTTAATAATGACCTCAGCTCAGGACATTAAGTTAGGAATTAATGATTAGTTAAGGTTAATGACTCAATGCCTTGAGTCATTAAACTTCAAGAAAATGCTCTGTACTTTGATTGTTTTTGGTTTATTAAAGTTAGGTTGTAGAAGGTGCCAAAAAAAAAGGAAAAAAAAGAGAAAGTATTTCCAAACACAATGGAAACTAATATGAACAGAAAACAGAAGTATTTTAATGTCTGCCTCATTCTGCAGGCCCAGCATAACTAGAAATGCCATTATCCCTGATTAGAGTTTTGTTAATATGAGGGCCTAAGGAGCAAAACCTTTCATACACAACTTTCTTTTCTTTCTTGTTCTGAAAGAAATTAAAAACATTGAATGTTTGGGAGATCATAGGTTAACACTGCAGTTATAGAGCAGCACATCACCTTATTCTCTGAAGTTATTCTACAATGTCCCCTAAATGAGCAGTTACAGAATGTTGCAGTGGTACCATGCTATGATCTGTACATAGGAATACAAGCCTTTGGATATATATTGTATGAGCAGATACATATTTGTATGTAAGTGGGCAATAATTATTTTCATCATCATCCGTCTCTGATTTGTATGCCACTTGGGCAGTCCAGGAGATGGAAAGTTGTGTATGTGAGCATTTAACAGACAAGGAGTGCTTAAACCTGAAGCCCTTTATTTTTCCATACTGGACACATGTAAGCAAGCTGCTGTGATGGCTTTTGCTCAACAATACCGTACAAATAATTCCGAGTCCTTTCTGACATAAAGTAGTATATTTGAAGTAAGGTGTCTTAGTGAGATTTTCACTTTAAATAGAATAAGGGTTAAATGATAACTTGACTTATCTTTTAAATGACAAAAAATAAAGAAATTGCAAGACCTTTTCACACATTAGATATGTATTGTCATTTATCATCTAGATATCAGGCTAGCAGTGCGAAGTAATAAAACATATCATCGAAAAATGTGCTATAGGTCTGAATCACTCTTTCATTCCACCTCCCAGCTAACTGTAGTATTAAATCAAACAAGCAGAACATTTCCTTAGGCAGCCATTGCCTTTTAATTTCCTGAAGAACCTTAAAATATCATTCATTACAAGTACTACACATATTTGGTTTTTAAAAGTCTCATAAATCAATAGCAGGCTGACTGTAATAATTATTACAAGTTAGTGCATAATTTTCGTGCTGAAGGCTGCATGCAGAACTTTAGCATATGCAAACGAGGCAATTCAAACTGTGTATAGATATTAATATGAAGAAGCAGGTAACGAGGTGCAGGCTATGAATTATGCATCAAGAGCGGCTGATCTTCAATGAGGAAAATGAATTCAGCATGTAATCTAATTAGTGATGGAAGTCTATTACATCTAACTGCAAAAGCAACCGTCCTTGAAACAAATTTATTTACAGTCCATGTTACCACTTGAAACAACTTTGAAATTATGTGTAAGACAACAGCTTAATTGTAAAAATTTTTTTGTTTGTTTGTTTCAGTTCTAGACCTGGAAGGCCTCCTAAGAGGACTCAAAGTGTCACCTCCCCAGAGAATTCTCATATCATGCCACATTCTGTCCCAGGCCTAATGTCTCCTGGAATCATCCCGCCAACAGGTAGGATCACCAGAAACACCTTCACGTGGGCAATCATTTGAATGAATGGCTTATATCCACTTGTTAATAGATTGACAGTCTAGGAAAGCAGCAGACAAATATCACAATAGTTCCCCTAATGTTACATTATTGGTAGACAAGCATGTTGTATGTAATGGAAAGTGGGGCGGCTTAGTACTTCAAATATTGAAACAAAGTATTGAACAAATAATAACCCTTTATGATTTTCCCCCGTTTTTTTTTCTTTATAAACAAAAACCTTTCAAAGCATGAATTACCTATCATTAGACAATAATCTCCCTATTCATTTTTAATAGATTAGATATCTTCTGCTTTTTTTTTGTTGCTTTGCTTCATTAGATAATGTCATCATGAATATAGTTGCCTGAAGAAACCGAGTTAGTTAAAATAACTCCATGCTGCACACATGTCTTTCTTAATTTTTCATCCTGAAATTCTATTTTTGATATGTCTCCTGAGGCCTTACACTAATATAAAGTCCTGTAACAATCTGTTTCTCATACCACTATTTCCTTTTGAAAGTTCCTGTACCGTCTCCTAGCAGTGACTTGTTCTTAAACATAGTTAAATTTAAGAAAGGCTGTGTTGCAGGGAGGAGATGAACAGATGAGGAGTCACCCAAAGATGGAGGCACCCAATAGTCAAGCTGCAGGTGGTGCCACATTCTCTCTCTTCATGTTACAGACCAGTTAAACACTGGGACTTGTTTCAGCAAAGTCCACCTGAGCTTCTGCTTCTTGCCCAGTTATTTCCTTCCTATTTTCATGGCTCTGTCTCTAACACCGATTTTCTCTAAGACAAAGGAAAGATAATTAACTAGACAGATCAAATAGAGGGGAAGATTACTTGATCTTGTGGACTGGATGGATGGGTGGATATTTGATTTCAAGCCCATGATCATGTCTCTCTAAGTACAAGCATGATTTTTGGTCACAGATGACTAACATTCTCAAAAGAAATGCTCAGTTCAGGAAACAGCAAATACCGGAAACTGTTTGAATGTAAATATCTTGTCTGGAGGAAGGAGGTAAGTAAAGGCAGCTTAGCTCAGTGGACAAAAGGGGGCCTGTACTTTGGCCTTAGGTTCAGGAGCTGCTTTACATGATGAGATAGACACATAGACAGAACTATTTAGTTTGAAATTTAATGCATTTTAAAGAAGAAGAGGAGTGACGAAATGAAGGGACTTCAGATAACAAAGATTGGTAGGAGAGAGTTATAAAATAAAGAGAGGGAAGGAAGGACGAGACTGAGAGTGTAGGGGAGTATGGGGAAATGTCAGACAAGTGGTAGTCTGGGCAGGTGTGACCAGCAAAAAAACCCAACAATTCGGATTAAAATAATTTATACGATATAATTTACAGGATAAAATCTTGTATAGAAAATGGAGATAATTCAGAGTCAATGCAACATGAGAATAGTAAATGGGATCAATGTGGGGAGAGAATGAAAGTTTTTATTGGGCCAAAACATTCGTGTTCACGAGGGAGAGATCAAAAACTGCAGAAGCAAAGGGAAATTATTTGGGGGAAGTAAGGCAGGAAAATATCAAAGAAAAAAATGCATGTGAAAAGTAGAAAGGAGATGAAAGAAATCAGAGACAAATAAGCAGGCCAAAAAGAGGGAGACGGGAAAAGAAACCTTGTCAACAGTATCATTTGGGGTTTTGTGTTACAGTTAATATCTAAGAGCAGATCACCTCTTTATTTTTTTTTTTTAAGAAAGCAGTTTAAAACCACAACTAATGCCTAAAAGTATCCAATTCCTCTCTAGTCCTTTAAAGCTGGTCATAACAAGTTAACAATAAAAATATATGGTACTAAAATGAGATATCCAATTTCTTAGAGTATCAGCCCACAAAACCAGATGCAGATAGTTTTAAAATGATGATTAAAACAAATAGAAGAAAATAATTCAAAATTAAAGAAAATAATGTATACGTAAGATTATCATTCATCAAATCCTTTTTGGATGGTATTGCTTTGTGAGTCTTTTTCAAAAGAAGAAAGGTTTAAATGCAATCGGTATTACATTTGAGCTGGTTTCACATTACATGGCTTACCACAACAGAAGGAGTGGAATGATTTTTTTCCCATTGTGGTGGTGTTGAGTCTCAGCACAAAAAATGCAAACAATAGCTCTGATAGAAGCGAGCTCTGGGGTCTAGTGTTCCATGAGATATGCAAAGGTTCAGCAAAGATAAAGAGCATCATGACAGCAGTGTTACATGACAGTCATTCCAGCATTTTATAGATGGGCAAGTATAAAAATAGACTTACAATCTGATCTTAGGAGTTCAAAACAATGAAAATTTGTGGGTCTACATTGTAAATAAGTACCAAAACTACTGTAAGAGCCCTGCAAAGAAAAGACTGTGACAACTGCAGTAGATGATGTCAATGCCATTGTTACATGCTGCTGCATTAGTTGATACAAGAAAAATCTTGCCAATTGTAAACTTCTACTCTATATTTTGACTGTATATAAAGAAAACCACTGGCTAGTTGAGGTTGTCAGGCACCACTGGAGGTCACCTAGTCCAGCCTCTGCTGGTCAAAGTGAGATCATTCAGAGCAAGTTGCTCAGGTCTGGATACACTTGAGATTCTCTGGGTATCTTTGAGGACAGAGACACCATGTCATCTCTTTGCAGCTTGTTCCAATGTTTCACTATTTTCAAAATAATATTGGATTTTTTATTTTTTTTTTACTTTCCAGTGGAATTACCTGTATTTCAATTTGTGTTTCCTGGCCACATTTGAGAAGTCTGGTTCCATCTCTGTACTTACCAGGTTTTCTTACACATTATTAAGATACCCCTATGTGTTTTCCAGGCCGAGCAGTCCCAGCTCTCAGTCTCTCTTGCTGTGCCAGGAATTTCAAAAGATGGTTCTTCATTTGAGAAGTTTGTGAAGTGTGAATTTCCTGTTAGTATCTAGCTCTAAGCAGAAGAAATAAAAATACTGGATTATTAAGTGCTTTCTACCCCTTCTCTCTCTCTCTCTTTTTTTTTTTTCCTTTGTATTAACTTCTTCTTTTTAAACTTTTTGATTGATTTAATAATCTGAGTGTAATAACGAAGTTTCCTTTCTGCCTACAAAAAAGTATAAGTGATCACACAAACAATTATGTGCTATTTAATGCTCTTTAAGTATAGAGATCTGCAATTATTAGGTATATCTAGGATACACAATGCTATGATTTAATGCATGATTTTTACTTGAAAATTTTCCTTCTTTTGAAATGTGCTGCATAATGCAGAAATAGAGATTTAAAGGTGGAAATCTTGATTTCTCAAGTGACTGGTTCTGCATGCATCGTTTATGTGTGCAAATAATACTGGTATTAAACTGTACCTGAGGTTTCTCATTATATTCCAGGATTATATATTTTTGTAGGAGGCCAAGTTAAGGAACCCTTGAAAATATTTTATATCACTGATATAAACTCTGAAAACACATTCAGAGAACATTGCATCATCACTTAGAATGAACTTGCTAAGTATTTAGCAACAAAGATGAGATATAGGAATGATACACTGAAGGAAAATAAAAGAGAAAAAAGGTATAATATTCCATATTTTTTTCATGAACTATAAATTGAAGAAGTGAGGATCACCCTTCAGTTGATATTCTGTCCATTTTATTACTATTAAATATTACCTGTAATTGCTGATCTATCCACTGTCTTTAACTAAGGTCAATTTACAGAATGCTCCCAAATTTATAAAAGACTGGTCACTTCACAAAGGATAATCTTTTATTTATGAAAATAAATACATAGGTCCTGTGACAGTGTGACAAAATGAGAAATGTGTAATAACAGGAAATGAAGAGCTTCACAGATTGTCCAGAGAATCAAAATCTGCCTATGTTACAAATTGTGTAGTAAGAAGAAAGAATTTGGTGTAGGCTCAAACAGTTGTAATGACATTTCCGGCTTATCTAGAAAACACCTTGAAATCCTTCCAAAACTGTATGGCTCATCATACTTAACTTTGATCTGCTGTCTCTCTGTACTGCAGATCTTTTCTTGGCTAATGTGCTTAAAAAGTTGTCTAAAGTTGAAATAGTAGATGATTGTAATTGTGATCAATCAGAAAAAAAGTGCTGTATGTCCCGGGTGTATGATATACGTTGTGGTCTGTACTTTTATGTCTGGTGTAGCTATATGACATATAAAATGATATTTCTGTTATTTTTCATACAAACTTTGAAACACAATTTTCTTCTATTTTCTAATTATTTGGTAATTATTCTTCAGTATTTTAGGTTTTGAATCTGCTTTTAAAACCCCTTAATTCTTCTGCAACTTGGCCTACTGAGCCTGAAATCTACAGTGATGAAATTACTCTTGTGCTTATTTCAGGAACTGCATTTTTCAAAGATAAAATGAGATATAAAGTGCTTTTGGAAATTGCTGACATAGGGCAGGATAAGAATGCTCCTTTATATATTGATATATATCTACAGATAGATCTTTGTCAATTAAAAAAGTCATTTCAAAGCATGTTTAATTTATTACATTACATTACATTACTTTTACATTAAATTAATCTGAACAATCGTTGTTGTTATTATTATTAGCATTAGCATTAGCATTAGCATTAGTATTATTTTGAACAGGTTTGCTTTATGATAGGTACTTCTATATAACTATTCCACATCTTAATCCAGACTGTTTCAGTGTAATGATATTAAGTTTCCTCTAAAATGTTTCACGTGTATGAATTATAGCTGCTCCCTTTTATTAAACCATTCTTCTTTTCTTTTTTTTAAGAGGTAATCTGAAGATGTAATTTCTAATTTCATCCTTATTTTCCCTCTTGCTGTGGGCCGGAATCAATATAGGTATATTCCAGCTTCCGTCTTGTACAAAATTCTTTGCACCACAAAGCAGTTTTATGGGGAGTTAGAATAAGGAGAGGGTTGAAAGGTATCATGTAGATTATTTCAGTTTGGAGGGCAAACGTTGTTTGCA